AAAAAAAATTGAAAAAAAAAAAAAATAATAATAAAAAGTTCCTCTCCGGGGATCGGACTCTCAATGTTCAGACCCCGCCACGTGCATCGCCACGCGTCTAACAACTCTACTCGTTGAGCTATCTCATTACGTCATTGTCTATCAGCCTAAACAACATACTATATATAGCGATCCGAGAAAATTGGGCAGGTCCGTTCAAGTCCCGACGTATGAGTTTTTTAAATTTTCTTTTTAACATCCGCTGTTTTGCTTTTTTTATCAGATGTGTTTTCTTCTTTAAGTGGTCTCGTACCAATTTCATCAACTTGGGTAATATCTACTCGTTGAGCTATCTCATTACGTCATTGTCTATTAGCCTAAACAACATACTATATATAGCGATCCGAGAAAATTGGGCAGGTCCGAGCGAATTATGATTGAAACATGAAAGCCCGTCTTTAAAAAGAGTAAGTATCAAACGTATTGACATTCCTGAGTAAGAACAATGCAACAGGCAAACATAAAAGTGCAAACATAATAGAGAAACTTCGCCAGAACATGCAACAACGACATCTAGCGACAGGCGGCATTATTTTCGTCATTAACATAATTTATGCAATCATCTTTAGATTTGTAGTACGATCAATAAATTAGCGCCTAAAAACTTATGTAATCGTACTTCGATCAATGGCATGTCACTAGATGAGACTGTTACTACATAAAGTTTCTTTTTGTAAAGAACATGGATTAAAATGGCAGCAAGTCTACTGCATATACCACAAACCGAAAAGAAGTAAACAGGTATTGCATGGCCTGCAGAGTTACCAAACTACCAAAGAAAGAAAGAAACAAAGAAGGATAGATTCCGTCTTATTAAAATGATCATTTTATGATAAACATCTTTAAACACTGAAACTCTTGAAGTCAACATGAACGTCGAAATATGACTTGTAACGAGGTTTTAAAAAGTAGATGATATATTCATGACATTCTAGAAATGCTCTTTGTTTGGGCCATGACCTTTGCGTTGCACCAGTTCGCACATACACTTCTCTCCAAGCAGAGGTTGGTGGGGGAAGATCGGGGGTAGCGACAGAAAAAATAGGCATATATAGAAAGGTAACGATCTTCTCCACCAACCTCTGCTTGGAGAGTAACATACACCGCTTTCAACGGTCTGTTGTAGGAAGCTCTGCTGATAGAGGGCGCAGCTGTACACATGCCAAAAGTGACACACTCAACTTTTGGCATTAAATATGTAAGCCCAGTGTTTAGTCTTCCCGATACTAGTTGGTGGGTTTGTTTGTTTACGGACAGTATAACTCGAAATGTTGGAAATAAATGGCAAATCGACCATTGCCCGGTCGCATCGAATTCTTGCCTGGTAAGCAACCACGCAGTGTAATTACATGTATGATCAATTTTTGGATTGGAGACGAACATGAGAAAACTACACTGGCTACCAAACTTCGCACTAAAACCAAGTCCAAAACTCTTCCCAACAGAATGAAATTTCAGGATAGTTATGTTGAGTCTGCTCAGGAGAAAGCAGACACGTTTAATGAATTCTTCTTTTCTGTGTTCAACTGCTCAGAGAAGGAAACCCCATTGCCTAGTTTAGGTGAGATTTTAAATGTGCCAAAAATTTCCACAGTCTCTTTTACTGTTTGTCATATTGTTTCTATCCTGAAGAATTTGGAAGTCAATAAGGCCACAGGGCCTGACGACCTTCCAGCCATGATTTTAAACAAATGTGCCCAACAACTAGCCCCCTCTTTGAAAATGTTATTTGAATTATGTTTAAACACTGGAAAAATTCCGAGTATGTGGAAGAAGGCAAATGTTGTTCCAGTGTTTAAGAAAGGGGACAAGAGCAATGTTACTAATTATAGACCAATATCTTTACTTTGTATAACTAGCAAAGTGTTCGAGAGGTGTATTTTTAATTCTGTGTTTCCGCTTGTTTCTGATTCTCTGTACTCCCTGCAACATGGTTTTGTTAGGGGTAAGTCCACTACAACTCAACTACTAGAGGTATACGAAGAAATAGGTCAGGTTTTAGATGCATCTGGACAAGTAGATGTTATTTTTCTAGATTTCTGTAAAGCCTTTGACACTGTTCCTCACAGGCTACTTGTACATAAGCTGAAGTTATATGGATTTGATAGTCAACTCCTTACCTTGATAAGCGATTACCTCTACGATCGCCAACAAAGAACAATTGTTGAAGGTCAGAAGTCTAACTACTTGCCTGTATTATCCGGGGTCCCTCAAGGATCAATCCTTGGCCCGTTTTTATTTTTGTTATATATCAATGACTTACCTGACTACGTACATTTCGGCAGGATGGCCATGTTTGCTGATGATGCCAAATGGTTTAAAAGTATAAACTCGATTTTTGATTGTATAAGCTTTCAGGCTGACTTGGAAAGACTTGCCTTCTGGAGTAAAACATGGCAAATGAGATTTCATCCCTCCAAATGCTCCGTAGTCAGTGTTACACGAAAGTCCACCCCTATCGAATATACATATAGCATTGATGGTACTGAACTTACCAGATGTCTAGCTTATGAAGACCTTGGTCTTCAGGTTCGTCATAACCTAAGTTGGAACGCCCATGTACTGAACAAAGTTTCAAAATGCAACTCGATCCTTGCCATGATAAAGCGATCTGTTGGTTACAAAGCTCCTTTCATAGTCAAACTCAACTTGTATCGTTCATTAGTGATGCCACACTTAGATTATTGCTCTCAGGTGTGGTCTCCACACACGAGATTGGTAATGCGTAAGGTTGAGGGTGTACAACGGAGAGCCACTAAATACATCTGTAACAACTACGAACTGTCATACAGGGATCGACTTACCTCTACCAATCTGTTACCGCTGTGTTATAGACGGGAACTTTTCGATGTATTATTCCTTTTCAAGTGTATTCGTGGTTTTTACTCCATTGATATGTCTCGTTTTGTTAAAGTTTCTGTACCCAGTAGATCTCTTCGCTTTACCGACCAATTTCAATTTACTGTCCGCCCTTGTAAAACTGAAACATTTACCTTTTCATATTTTAGCCGTGTAGTACTCATCTGGAACACTTTACCTGTAACAATCCGTCAACATTTGTACTCAAATCTTAGCATTTCATCTGTCAGGAAACTGTTAGCCACTTACGAGGGGTGTTCAAAAAGTTCTCGGCCCAACCTAGAAAATAAAGGTCAAACTCCTATTCTTTAATATAGCTGTATACTATGACGTCTTACATCACTGCACACAAAAATTCAAATTTTTATATTCATTAATTAGCACGTGACGCCCCGTGAAAATGGGGTGGGTGAGGGCAAAATCACAAAATGGCCGCAACAGAAGCGTGTGCTGTGATCAAGTGTATCGATAAAAAGCGATGTCTCCTAAGGAAATCCACGAAGACATGGTCAAGACACTTGCTGATGACTCCCCTTCTTATTAAACTATAAAGAAGTGGGTTGCTAGCTACAAGCGCGGCAAGGAGAGCACAAAAGATGAACATAGGTCAGGATGCCACAAATCAGCACCACGGACAATCCAGTTGAGGCCATTGATCACATGGTAGTGAATGGCAGATGTGAGACTGTCCGACATGTAGCAGAGTCTTTGGCCTTTGTTTTGGCTCAGTTCACAATGTTTTGTCGAACATCCTGGGGATGAACAAACTGTCTGCATGGTGGGTGCCTCGAATGTTTTCTGAACATCAGAAGTTAAACAGGCGGGACATTTCAAGGAACGAATTCAGTCCAATGCATGCAATTTTCTCAAAACATTTGTAAACCAAGATGAGCTGGGTTCACCACTTTCACCCCGAATCAAATCAGCAGAGCAAACAATGGATAAAGAATTTTTCCCGGCCCCCCAAAGAAGTTTTAGCGACTTTCGTCCGTTTACAGGGTTTTTGCCTCTGTTTTCTGGGACAGTAAGGAAGTAATCATGATTGACTACCTGCGAAAGGGTTAACGCATCAATGGAGAGTACTATTAAACAGAATTACGACATTTGAGGACAAGGATCAGAGAGAAAAGGAGAGGAAAGCTCCGAGCTGGCGTGCTGACAATGCACCTGTCCACACAGCACACAGCACAGGGGTCAGTGCCAGCAGCAAACGAATTTGGGTTTGCAGTCTAACCCCACCCTTCCAATTCACCTGACCTAGCACCCTTGGACTTCTACCTGTTTCCTAAACTCAAGTTCCACTTACGTGGTTATCGTTTTGATGGTAATGATGACGTCATCTATGCGGTAGAGGCCAATCTGGGGGGTCCAGATGCAACCTTATTCCACAAGGGGAAAACAAAACTGGAACATCACTGGACCAAGTGTATTGTAGTTAGAGAGGACTATATTAAACTAGAAAGGCCAATATTTGCTTTGGAGCAAATACAGCCATGGGTTCACCACATTTTACGACATGGCAGGGAAAGAATGAGAAACACAAGGGAAAACAATGATTTACATTGATATAACTATAATATCAAGTAACATACAACTAAAACAACAGTTGGATAGCTATTCCCTACTTTATTGGTTAGGATTTTTAATTGCATAATGCAAACTGTTGATTTTCAAAATAAATAAAAAAACGTTCATGCCCCGCATTCCAATGCTGGAGCAGAAAAGCTTGAAATACCTACCAAAACACTTGAATAAAGACATACTGTCAGTATGGAAATGCTCTGTGCAGGTGTTAATCAAGTTAAATCCCAACAGCCAATCAGCAAGAAATGCTCTGTGCAGGTGGAAATGCTCTGTGCAGGTGTTAATCAAGTTAAATCCCAACAGCCAATCAGCAAGAAGTATAGAGGAAAGCTGCATGCCTATTGGTTGATGCCCTGCATTCCATTGTGATGACTCATGCCCAGACGTGGTAAACACAGCCCACTAACACAGTAATACATTTGCTATAACACAGCCAAAAAACTCAAATAAAACCATTCTAAAAGCCTGTATCACAAAAATTTAAAAAACGCCTAGGGGTATTTGCCCACTGTACCTCCATACCAAATTTCAGGACCTTAGGCCCTAAAATGAAGAAGCTGAATCCATTTAAAAAATGGCAGGAGGAGAAGGAGGAGAAGGAGGAGGAGGAGAAGAAACATCAGAAAAAGCAATATGGAAATAGTGTGAAAATAGTGTGAGAAAAATTTTACTGCCATGGCGTTTTCTAGGTGAGGCCGAGAACTTTTTGAACACCCCTCGTATTACATATCCCGGGTACACTCCATATATTCCACCGATAACATATGCACCTGGTCCTCCATTTGTAGATGTCATGCCTGCCTAACCACTTAGCCATACCTTACTGCCTTTATTATGGGTTCACCACATATTGCTTTTTCTGATGTTTCTTCTTCTTCTCCTCCTTCTCCTCCTGCCATATCTTTAAATGGATTCAGCTTCTTCATTTTAGGGCCTAAGGTCCTGAAATTTGGTATGGAGGTACAATGGGCGGGCAAATACCCCTAGGCGTTTTTTAAATTTTTGTGATACAGGCTTTTAGAATGGTTTTATTTGAGTTTTTTGGCTGTGTTATAGCAAATGTATTACTGTGTTAGTGGGCTGTGTTTACCACGTCTGGGCATGAGTCATCACAATGGAATGCAGGGCATCAACCAATAGGCATGCAGCTTTCCTCTATTCTTCTTGCTGATTGGCTGTTGGGATTTAACTTGATTAACACCTGCACAGAGCATTTCCACCTGCACAGAGCATTTCTTGCTGATTGGCTGTTGGGATTTAACTTGATTAACACCTGCACAGAGCATTTCCATACTGACAGTATGTCTGTATTCAAGTGTTTTGGTAGGTATTTCAAGTTTTCCTGCTCCAGCATTGGAATGCGGGGCATGAACGTTTTTTTTTTATTTTTGAAAATCAACAGTTTGCATTATGCAATTAAAAATCCTAACCAATAAAGTAGGGAATAGCTATCCAACTGTTGTTTTAGTTGTATGTTACTTGATATTATAGTTATATCAATGTAAATCATTGTTTTCCCTTGTGTTTCTCATTCTTTCCCTGCCATGTCGTAAAATGTGGTGAACCCATCGCTGTATTTGCTCCAAAGCAAATATTGTCCTTTCTAGTTGTTGTTTGTATTTTGTATATTGTATATTTTTAGTTCTGATATGTAGATGTATCTTGATGTATTATTTGTCTCGGTGCTATGTATCTCTGTTGAGGAGCCGGCCCCGTAGAGAAACCAGCTTTCTGTTGCCGGCTCCTCACAGATTTTTTTAAATCTGTAAAGCTCAATAAATAAAAATAAAAACGATGACCACTAGTCAAATTTAGTGCAGTCAACACTTTGTTCGTCATGATAACGTCGGACAGTTTGATTGTACTTTTTGCATATGTATTGGGAGAATGGCCGAAAGTGAAAGTAGTTTGACATATAGATCTTGACGTCAGGCTCTATTTCCGAAAACGAAAATGTAAATATCTAGTTTAAATACGTCCACGACATTCCTTCTTGCAAAGTCACCTCGTATTTATCAAAGTCTCATCGGATTTATATAGGATCTGGTGATTCATACTGTGTTCTCGTGTTCAAGCCGCCATCTTGGGATTGTAGATACATGGCCAGTATTGGCACCGCTTGGTCACGCACACTATAACTAGTGCGTAATTTCTTGAAGGCTTGGTCACAAGTTCGCCGTACTACCATCGTACAACCACAAGCTAAGGGCTCCTTTCGTATATAACAGTTAAGAGTCAGGTTATCACAGACATGTGAGCCTGTTACGTTTGTGAACAGGTAGTTAACATAACATTTACTTTCCAAACATGGTGGCAACTTTGATATTGACAAAATGGGCGTGGGCTCTTGAGTAGAAAGAAACCACAAAAAACACACCAAAAATCTCTAGAAACCTCCTAAACCCGATGGCATTTGAATGGATATGGTGTGACCTTGACTGGCTCTGCAATAACTGTGGTCATGGACGAATTTTGGAAAAGACTTTTACGGCTCATTTTGAGGAACTAAAGTTGGCCGTCATGGCGTCAAAATTTATGAACTTCTTTCACTTTCATAATCACACGTTCCAACTAGGGATAGACATGGCAACAGTACATGTACTCTCCAAGCAGAGGTTTAAGCTTCGGCTTATATTTGGCGTGTATGTTTATAGGACTCTTTTGTAATGGTGTCTTTTTTTTTTACACCAGCCTCTGGTGGCAAATGGATACTGCCTGGCCAATTTAATACCGTCTTTGCAGTGCTACCAAAAGATTTGCTTGGAGAGTAGTAACCGTACAAATTAGTCCTTGATCTCATGTTCTAGGTATTACTAAAAATCTAATACATGTACTGCCCGAGGATTCTGGTATACCCCAATTAAGACGGGTTTAAACTCTTACCTTTTTTTTATTTACGGCACAATGACGCTACACTGAGCTGTCTGCTTTGTCCAGTACGTACCTGTTGTCTCGGTGTGTAAACTGACCCACACTGTAAAGGGGAGGGGCCAGGGGAATTGCGCAACAGGGCACACCATGCATAGAACCTTTAGCATTAAAAAGGATTTTGTTCTCATTAAAAAAACACTTCTTGGGCAAATTTGTTCAGTGTGACTGAGTATCCAATGGTTTCCTGAGGAAAGTCTTGCAGAATAGTGTGGCTTTTGCATGTGTCAACATCACGATTTTTTAAAACATAAAAAAACCTGACCGATACAGCTTGGGGATAAAGACTTCATGGTTGAAATAGAAGGAAGTGTGTTTTGAAGTGATTGTTTACCATCATCGGACTTGACTAACGTTATATCAAGTAGGAGTAGCCTTATTACCGTGGAACTCAGACTCAGTACATTGTGTACTTGCTTACTGAGAACAAACCTGGTGACAAAATATAACTAATGTCCTAGCAGAAGTTGAGGGAGAGGGGATCTTCTGATCACTCTGCCTTTTGACAGCCGAGTCCACAGACCACTATAACTACAACCATGATTTTGTCTTAACAAGTGAAATGCTACTAAGTATATTCTCGTGATAGATTTTATGAGACTGAATATGTTTGAACTATATAATGTTGCAACAGACGTCCGCAATACACGCAGTATACAAGATGATATTTAGTGAGTGGTTCGAAGTGGGACGTGAAACGTTCAATGGGTGATCGTTTTATTTCATCTTTACCACATATATCTAAGGTAAACAATTCAGGCTGTTGAGCAGCTTCACATCTTACATCGTCTATAATGTTAAGGTCAAGCACGACTGCCTTCTAATTCGATGGGGACCTCTTGCGACAATACACAGTATTGCATATCAGGCAACAACAGGTTGTTATTGACAAAAGTAACAGTATAACACTAGTATACCATTTGATGTGATAAGAAGTATGAATACAGGTGAGGCTCACTGATCTTGTTTCATCGCTTCACGTAGGAAGGCAAAGCATATATGGTACAAAAAATCACGAAAATAATCTTGTTATAAGTTTCAAATAATATCGTCGGATGGAGAGGGCGGTTGGAGACGGTGCGTCGCAAAGTTAACAGCCTATAATAAAACAATGGCTATGACCTGTACTGCTAAAAAGAAGCCTACCTATGTATCATTTTCGACAGAGTTGAATGCCAAGTTCTGGTGTGCTGTGTGCTGCTTTCTTTCGTGTAAGGAACGAGCAATCTGTTGGAAATATCTCTGATGCTGTTCTGTCGTGCGGTAAGGTCTCCCGTTTATACCATTGGAAAAGCTAGTCTTCTGTAAGGAGTCGCCCGTGAATTTGCCCTTGTTGGAAGTCAGGGCGCCAAAATTTGGCTTCCTTCTGAACATCCTTTGCATGACTAGGGACTTGGCGGGATCTCTCCTGTCTGCGTGCCAAATGACGTTGCCTCTGCCGTCGATGCCGAAGGTTTCGTGCATGTGCATGACGTCGGTGCCCTTGGTGTACCTCAGCCGCGGGAAGTTGACGGAGTTCCCGTCCAAGTCCGACGTCCCCCCGCCGCCGCTGCTGCCGGAGCTCGGGCTGAAGGAGGGCGAGCTGCCCAGGTCCCAGGACGACCAGGAGAAGGGGTGAGGCACCAGACGACTCGTGGGGATCTTTCTCGTCCTCACGACGTCCGAAAGGTCGTACCGCAGAACTTTCTTACCCCCTCCGGTGTATTCCTGGACGACCTTGAACGGGTAGGGCATGCCGTTGGTGAGAATGGGGAGGGGCTCCACCTCCTGGAAGTGCGGGAAACCACAGCGCGTCGGCTGCATGGAGTGTCTCGTCGACCCGCCGGCTTTTCTACTCGGTAACTTGGGTAGATTTATGCATGCGTTCTCCTCAAAAGGACCGTGAACAGTAGCCTCGGGCGCCAGGAGGAAGTCGGCCTCTGGCCGGTGGTTGTGGTCGCCATGGTCACTAGGGTCACCGTGGTCACTGTCCTTCGGTGGATGAAACGTTCTGAAAAGAAGAATGAAAAGTTTCAGCATCGATTTCATATACACGACACATGGATGTCAGTTATAAAGTTATACATGGCTAGTCTCAAGTTCGGCGTTCGGCTCAGAACCAAGAAATCACGAGTTCGAATCCTGCCATGTCACCGATCTTGTGCCATTGCAGTAGACCACTTAACTTAAAATGAGCATGTCTGTATCCCCGTTAACCTTAGCGTTGACTACGTTGGTGGTGGCATGAAAATAAGTTGAAAGAACTTGAATGTGCCGTCACCATGTCTTGTAATAAATGTTGGAATAAAAAACCTCCGTTGCAGTATGTTAAAATCAAGGAGGTTTAAACCTTCTTGATTATATAAATACTGATGGCCTTGTATCTACTGTTTATCAGGCGTCTTCTTAACGCTTGATAGTACGTTTGTGACACTGTATTTTTCACAACAAATATTTCTTTCATTTGACACTTAACCAAGCGAATCCCTCTTTACAAATACACAATGGCCTTGGCCTTCGTACCGGAATTTCTTTTGATTAAATCTTTGTTCAGATAACAACGACGACATAACAGCACTGCATTTTTCTCTGTTTTCTGTGGTTTATTTTTCTTTTCACTGCGGAAACAGAATATACCAAACATTCAAACTCAATATCCGCAATGGCGAAGTTCACTGCGTGTGTTAGACGTTGTTTATGATAACATGTAATCCCTAGTAACGTACCCTAGGCTCACATATGTTTCCATGCAATGATCCCCACAAACAAAGTTCTCGTGAGAAACTGAACATAATCTAATTATGGCTTCAGCGTTCCAAATTTTTTAGAATACTCAAGTCTAACAGACCAACACTTAGCTATAACTATCACCACCACACCAAAGTTTAGTAAACTTGACAACATAACTTTGACTACTTTATTCCTCAAGTTCGCCCGCGGGTCTTTTGTTTCCATGGACATGACACACTTCGTTGAAAACGTGAAAAGCGTTTGAGAAGTCTGAATTAGATTTTCAAGGACCCTGAACGTAGAGGTTCGTATTACTGCCTCCCTGGCAGCGTGCCTTTCGCCCGGTATTCGCCAGCATTGTTCGCTTGCTTTCACCTCGTCCGACTAAGTTATCCGAACGATTTAGTGCAATGTTCAGATAGTTTTAGAGAGCGAAGCCTGTGTATTATTCACTTCAGCAACGTCATAACTTCATACTAAGTTCATAGGATTATGATAAAAAGTTTGTTTGTTCGTCTGGCGGTTAGAAACAACGTAGTCTGACGAGGTAGGGGGTAGCAAAAAGGTCAGAGCCGACTCTCTAAAATTTCTCCCCCACGTTCACTTCTGCAGTAAGACCGGGTGAATAGCTCATTCATGTGCGGCCGTGCACGACAGGGTACAGGGTTACAGATATCGGTGTTACCTTGCGAAGAAAGCGATATCATGGCTTACCGTGTACTGTAAACATGTGACAAACAATCCACCTTTGGTAAGACCGTTGTTGATACGACATGTAAGTGTCCTACTTCTGGAGACCCTCCTAGTTTTGTACATAAATACGTAATCAGTACCTCTCTCAACTGTTAATATCCTACTTTGCAAGTTCGTAAACATGTCAATATGACATTAACTACTGGAAATGTCAGCATTACCTGGTTAAGACGCCGCTTACATGGCGTGAGATGTGTGTGCTTGTCCAGTCTTGAATAAAACAAAACAACTAAAAAATGATTTCTCTGTTCGGAAAACGAAGGTGGATACTGGTAAAAGAAAATAAAGATAAAGGTCATTTGAAGATTTTCCGTGTTGCGTATCACTTTTCGCGTGGTCAGAGCCGTTTTGTTTACAAAAACTCTCAGTGCAAGAGCCCATGACTAGCGACCCAATAGACTGTTGGCAAACAGTGCTCTATGCATTTACAGCGGTTGACTAAATTTGTTTAAAATTGGTACACACTTAGAACGTTATGGTACGATCTATCAAATTGGGCGTGCAGTATGCTAGGTGTGGCATTTCCGGACAAGGCACAATTTGAGTAGTGCGTAGCTTGTTTACCAAGTGTCTTCATATACATTTATAGTGCTGGATGATAAATAGTTCGGCACACTTCTAGAGGGCTATGGCAGATTTATTAAACTGGTGGTGTGTGTTTAGGTGTACTGTTTGTGACAAGGTGACTCGGGGTTGTGGCGAAGCGCATTCGGCATGTGTCAACATGGCGGACCCACATGTACAGCTTCTTTTCAAAATACACCTTCCACAAACCACGTCTCACAAAACCCTACCGACACGACTTAAATATTTTGTGTACAGGCTCTGTGTACGCAGTCAGCGTAACAGACCTGTGCTTTTAAAGCAATCATGGTTATTATGGTTCGCCCACCATAACAAGAATTTAGGCCATTGTGTGTTTTCTCAACAACAAGCCATTAAAATGTCTGACGAGGCAATCACTCTAGGTAGGCTGACGGCTTTATTTGTAGTGGTCCATGGCTTTTATAGCCCCTAGGTAACGTTCTGTTTCTGAGGAACCGTTATTTTAGCAAACTAGTTAGTCTGGTCATCATCAAGACATCAGAATCACAACATAGGGACACTAAATTCGAGCCAGTAGATTCTTTTCGAGTGATGCTTGCGAATGAGAGCTATGTAAAGTGAAATAGATGACAGCTGATTGTATCACAAGATTACAAATCTATAAAAACAGGTGGCAGACGTCGACAAAGACAGAGGAGGAGGTCTCTTCACAAAATTGTATTCCTTATCATGTACTAAGATAATTCGTGATCTATAAAGGAGAAAGTTTCACAGTAAGTCTAAGTGTGCATTTTAAGTTAGAATCAGATAGTGTAAGGTTGAATCCTCACCTGTATTTGTTGCTAGCAGGCGGGACTTCGCTCTGTTCCTGCGCTTGTTTCGCTTTGATCATGGCCTTATGAAGACACGACACAAGCTGCTCGTTTCTGCGTTTCTTGTTGTTCCGTCTGTCTCGGTAGTCCTCGATGTATCTCCGTATGTCCGAGTGGTGCCGAAACTCATACAGGTCCGTCGAGTCGTGATGATCGGGTCTTCGGGCCGCAATCCTCACGGGCGGCGGCCTGCGGGACGCGGGCGACAGGTGAGCGGCCTCTCCCGCGTGTGCGCCGCCGCCGAGAGTTTGAGTGGTGGGCGCAGGAACCCGGTTGGAACCAGCCCGATAGTCTCTCCTGATCCACTGCGCAGAAACACACCGTGGCGGCGGCGTCTTCAACCTCCCAGATCGCCACGATGTTCGCCGCGGCGGCCTGCTCTCCTGCCGTCGGCGCTGTCTTACACCGGGACCGCATTTCCTCCGACTCCGCCGAGCACCAGTCCTCCTGGCCGCACGACGCACACCGTGACGACTCAGGCTCCTCCCCACAGTAATGAGATTGCATCAGGTGCTGCATAATTTTCTCTCAACAACTACAGCGACCTGGCTTCATAACCTCACAACACACTCAACGACATAACGTCTGCCATCACACAACAACAATAGTCATACAACCAAGGGAACCGCTGCATGGGTTATGTGACCCCGTTATTTCGTGACGTCACGTGCGAAGTCAAACAGTTGGCTAGATTTAATTACAGTGACCCCGTTTGTGTCCAATGGAAGGAGTCCCTTCAATTAAAGACTTAGCCCACTGCTTATGCGGGGGCTTTAGACAGTAAGCACATGTGAGGGACGAAACACTTTGTACTGTACACAATGGCAGATGGGGTGTACTCGCCATTGCTTAAGAAAGGATCACAGGATAAGGATAAGTATCCAGGGTATCGGGGAAAACACGCTTCGGCATGCTTCTTCGAAGTTGCAATCGTCGTTCATCCGATAGACGTAAAATACTTCTGTAAATAAAATTGTCACGATCGTAATTCCATGTAAGAAGAAAAAGGAGATGTTTTTAAGCACCGCAAAACCACATAAGAAAGAAAAGAAAGATCTATTATAGCAGCATCAGTAGTCCCCTGATCCTGTCATATGTACACTTCAGATATCAGATGTTCAAGACCGTACCCGGAGCAATTCAGGTTACATTTAAATGCGTCTGTAATTTGCAGTTAAGAGGCGAAACTGCTGGGTAGATAAATATTCAAGAAATGTTTTTTATTCACCCCACACAAGACCCCTCCCCTGACAATAGCCTCCCATCCTACTATGGGGACTACATGGCGAGGGGCGTCAACGCTCTACGCTAAATTGATTTTCGGCAGGCTGGCTTCCCTTTAATGTGATACCGTATAAAGGATCATCTTATATTTACTTCAGGGTAATGGCCATCCTGAGCTGCTATCCACAGTGCATGCGCAGATGTGTTTGACTGTGTGTGGATGGTGTTCAGCACCAGGGACAGCGTAGGTTGTTATGCACTTGTTTGTGGACCTGTTTCGGAATTTCCCACGACCCGGCAAACCTTCATCAAAGATAGAACACAATTCACATAATTCAATACTGCAGTATTGTAGCATTGTATTATTGATTATGAAAATGATACGCTGATTAGCATACCGCCTGTGTCCCCGAAATCACAAAATGGTATCGCCCTCACATGTTATAAGCCACACATTGTTTTCTAGCCGTATGTCGTCTAGACTGATAAGCTAATATTTCACAACAGGATACAGAAGCTGCTACTTATCTCCAAGCAGATGGATAAGTGGTATAGAAAAATGCATTACTGGTCAGAGCCGTAGAGACGCAGAATAAAATGCAAGTCCGACCTATAACGTTACATCTGCTTGGAGATTAAGCTTCTCCAGCCGTTTCATTGCTACAACAGGTGTCCATCGATAACTGTGGGTACATATAAATTCACACGAACAGTCAGTGGCATATCTAAAGCTGATTCAACCTTCACCGCGAATCCAGACGGTGGAGGGTCAAATCCCGCTCGGGCACGGTGTGAGGGCTGGGGTTGTTGTCCTACCGGATGGGGGCAACAAGGGGGGGGGGGGGGGCTTCAGGCGTTAGCCTCAGGCGTCAAACCCCTGAAAGTAAAAGGACCATTAGTCTGCAGTCCAGCCTTGTTAGTGTTAGTCCGCTCCCCAAGATCCGATACCCCGCCAAGGCTGGACTCCAGGCTAAAGAAGAGTAGGGATGACCCGGTGTGCCTGTCTTGAAACTAAGCAGTAGCGAAGTTAGCCACAGTGAAAAACAATGACAGTTCAGGGTGACTTCTTACAAACATCTTCCTCCCCCTCCCCGAACCACAATATGGAATCGCCTGACCCAATCACAACCTTATGTTTGAGTTTGAAGGAAAACTCCTTGACATTATATTAAACATTAACCAAACAACTCCCCCTTTCCGCCCTCTCACCGGACTGCGTGTCAGAACTGTGACAGAGGAAAATACCAACTGTTTAGTTGGAACAAAACGTCAGCAAAGTCAAAGCGAACTATCGAAGGTAGAAAGAAGAACATCATGGGTAAGCCGACCTGGACCGAGCGAGTTGTGAGCGCTCTTCGGGTGAGGAGGTTCTTGGTTCGGGCGGCATTGGCTGAACTTCTCGGCACATTTCTCCTGGTGGTAAGTTACGTTCAACATTGTGTTGATGGGAGTTTAATAATTAGCGAAAGTGCTACCGCGAAGGTTTGTGCCGAAGTGCTTAGTCTTTACGCTGGTTTTGGAGGAGCGTCAACAGTTTGTTAGGGCTACAAGTTACAACTAGCATAGTAAAGTTCGAATTTGCCGAGATAACTGCTCTGGAATGTGTAGGACTACAAGAAAACTTAACGAGAAAGCAACGTAACCACACGTATGGTAGTCTCATTAGTCAAGGTTAGGCAAAGCTGTCGAAAGAAAGTGGCAAGGCTGGTTTCGCCTTCTTGTCATAGACCAACAAACCGCCTTGTCTTGCCGTCGGTACACATCTAATGTAAGTTTGATGGGTAACTGTGTACATGTGTGGCTGAAATGAAGTAGGGCTGACAACACATCTGAACACAGCAGGAACATATTATCATTTACACGGTTTTAAGTTAACTGCACGCATTGGTTTTTAGTTTTGCCGATATTTCAGGACTCAAAGTATCAGAGAAACCCTGCGTCTCCATCTTTTCAACGGGACCCAAATAAATTTGCCCATTTAGTTGTCCATGTGTAACAGGCATGTAGCTCCTGATAGGCCCTCAGAAAGTCTGGCTTTCAGGCTAGCCCAGGAAGAGCGTCATTGCGACTACACTTTACAAGGACGTTATATGTAAATATAAGAGCTACTGTACATGTACCTAGGTGACAGCGGTATTCATGCTGATTGAGGAAGACGTTTATTGCCCGTATTTGCCCCTTGGTTAAGCTTTAGGTCACAACAAAAAGAACATATGCATTTAGGCTAGGACGGGTACAGAAATCTAGTACACCTCCTTCTACTAAGTTCTAGCACTGGTTGGGATATCATATAAGAACAGATGGGTGTGGTTGATTGTTGACATATTCCTTAGCCTGGGTGCCAAACCCATAGCACACTGGACTTGGATTAAAGAAAGATCAAGAAACCCTTTCAGCTATTTAATCATAGCCTGATGTCGTAGCTCGTATGTGCAAAAAACTCCAGTTAGTATAAAAAATGATTTTAGGAACGACATTCGTAGCCTAGCCAGGAAGCCGAGGAGGAAACCTGTGTGAAAAATCAGCGCCTGGCTTCTAGGATAGAAATCCTGGGCGGGACTAGGCCGAAGCCTGCTCCACATCAGAGTTTCGGGCCTGGCTGTGGGCCAGATGTTCCAGATTCTCCCGGAGAGGTAAAGAGTTCACCAGCCGATACCATCAGCTCACTCTGCCAATCTCACGTCCCGGCATCACACGATATCTGCTGAAGGATTCCTGAAGTCACGCGAGAAAAAAAAAGTGTCTAACAGACATCTGGTTTCTACTGCAGATTCTGGAGATGACGACAAATCCTTCCGTTCTTTTGCCAAGTCAAAAGAAATCACACATTCTCACTTGACACTTGTATGATCGCTCGCTGCCCCGTTGGAAAAAGTTACCGTTTGCGATTTTCGACATCTGAAAATGCACAGATATTTTGATACTGGTAATTTAATCACATGTACATCAAGCGCGGATGCCTTTTAACTTTTAAATCTAGTAGTAACTGACTATCTACTAGTAGGTCTGCATGCTCAGTCAATGATGGTCAATGTCTGAAATGACTTCTGATTGACACGTATGATGTACGGATAAAACGTGTGGCTTGTTCCGTAGTCGTACCATAGTCATGATGATTTCAAAAAACAGTGTACTGTATGTGATCGTTTAGAAATGCGTAACATCTAGGTGACAAAGAGAAATACTAGAGTGAGTAATACCAGTGACACTAAAATAATGGCCTTGGCACTACATGTAGTACATTTTCTGTGACAGCTGCTGGGATCGTGAACTTGTGTCAAGGTCATCATTTGCGCAAATGGACCAGGTCCAAACAAGAATTCCAAAACGCCCTATTAGAGACTGTATTTCCAACTGTGCCCTACACGCATCTGGGGTTTACGGAAAAATGGGGAATCTAGCCAGGCTATTAGGATACCGCTTTCTCGACGCGGACGCTACGGGTATGCATGGGGGTTTTGCTCTACTGCCTTTTTGACACAAAATCTCCTTTCATTTTGGAAGCCATTTGCGTAGAATACCCTCAGATGCTAGATACTGGTTTGGCGGTTGTGTACTGGCAGATGAACAAGCTGTCCAGAAGACATAGACCTGGGGGCTAGTGTGAAAACATTTGAAATATTGCGATTGAAAGTGGTTTATTGTGAATATGAATAGGAAAAATAAATTTTCGTCCACTTCACATCATTTTATATATACGAATATTAAAGAAAAAACAAAACAACTTTTCCCCGTTTGTTTCAGACGATCGGAAACGGCTCCGTGGCGCAGGTCGTGTTGAGTCGGGAGGCTAAGGGGACGTTCTTGTCCATCAACTGGGCGTACGGCATCGGGGTAGTCATCGGCGTGTACGCCTCCTGGGGGGTCTCAGGTGAACTGCAGCTTCAGCCTCATCAAGCTATATAGCATTGGATTGATGACACATGACATAACGCAATTTGTCACGTCTTTTCTTTTTTTTAAAATAAGTCTCCTCTGTAGATAGTTCAATCATTAATGCTGACACGCATGAAAGCTAAAACAACATTTTCTATACTAACAAATATTTTTCAAAATGGCACCAAAGGTGTCATTATCATATCTGCTCACATTGTATTTATATTTCATTAAAAAAAGATCGTATTGGATACAGTTCCAGAAGTTTTGCCATGAATACAACTTTTACAGAGGAAAAGACGTATAGATGTTTTTGGTCCTTTCAGACTGACAGGCATTAAAGATACTACAACATTTTCCAACAAATATTTTTCAAAATGGCACATTGTATCTATTTATATAAAAAAGATTGGATACATAATTTTGTACAGTTCCAGAAGGTCTGCGAATCCATGGATACAACTTTTACAGAGAAAAAGACGTATAGATCTTTCTGTTTTTTTTTTCAGGAGCCCATCTGAACCCTGCGGTCTCCCTGACCATGGCAGTCCTGGGTAAACTACGCTGGGTGTACCTGCCGTGTTACGTCATGGCTCAGATGATAGGGGCCTTCTTGTCAGCGGTTTGTGTGTACATTGTGTACTATGGTAAGGACGCGTCGCCATTGCTTTGTGTGAAGACCGCGAGCTATGGAAGCAAGAACTATCAATGACATTCTTACACCAAGATTTATCCATGTTTTAAACTGTAAGAGTAAATTACCAACGCGTCAATAGCCTAAACAATCCTATTACGAAAAATGTGTGAAAAAGCCATATAGACGTCCTGGATAATTCTGATGCTGGTTGAATCGTTGTTTAGTACTTGAAATGATATTAATCTATAAGACTGTAACACCATTGTCTACAATGAAAGCGACAAGAGAATAAGGTACAACTCCTATCCATTCTCACCTCTTTTTGTACCGTAGAAAGAAGAATTTTAGCCATTTGTTGTCGTTAACGTCCAAGGTTTAAAAAGTTAATTGCCACGCGACAACTTTTGCTTATAAGTTAATGCTGAACATTCTCCACAGATGCATTGGGTAACTTTGACGGTGGTACCCGAGCAGTTGTAGGTGTGAACGGGACGGGAGGCATCTTCAGTACCTACCCGCAAGACTATCTGTCTATCGGCAGTGGAGTGCTGGACCAGGTGAGCTGGTTTGGGGAGGAGTGGGGGGCGCGGTATTATTACGATAGCCTTCCTAACTTTAAAACACGACGGTGATGGCTAGGTCGGAATAGGTATTTAGTGCTTGTGTCCTGCTATAGTACTGAGGCCTTAATCTATAAGGCGATGTTTGGAGGTTCTCTCAGTAAGGGCCCTCTGTCGTCGACACCAGCAACTAATGTATTGATGACGTTGTTGGAGCGGTTGTGGATGTGTCAGCTGTCTCTTTTGTGATGGGAAATGCTGTCGTAGATCACTCTCGACGGTTGATTTGCCATAGACTTGCTGAAGATCTTACAAAACTACGCCTTAACTGTTAATCATTTCCACTAGGACAGTAAATGATCCTATTTTTTCACTTAACCTGACAGGTGGTGGGCACTGCCCTGTTGCTCTGCGGTGTTCTGGCTCTGACGGACTCCAAGAACAACAAGGTGGCGGCCGGGATGGAGCCTCTCCTGGTCGGCCTGCTGGTGTTCGCCATCGGCACGTCCTTCGGGTTCAACTGCGGGTACGCCATCAACCCTGCCCGAGACCTGGGCCCGAGACTCTTCACGGCGATGGCAGGCTGGGGCCTGGAAGTCTTCAGGTAAAAGAAAAGCCGGGAGGAGGTGATAAAGAATGAAACATGGACAGCAATCATTTGAGATACAAAAAGGAATTCAATTGATTATATTCGTGTATTAACGTTAGACGGAGTGGAAGGTCTACATTAATAGCCTGGTTATCAGACCTATTTTAGCTCCCCAGTCCTTGTCCTCTCCACGCACGAATCTCTCTCTCTCTCTCTGCGGATGAGACTACATTAATGCAGCTCGTCTTGAAACTTGTGTTCATGATTTGTTGTGTCCAAGTATTACGCCAATTCTAAGGAACACACGGAATATTTTGAAAAATACACTGTAGACGAGCTCCGTCTCAAGTTACCCTTTTGCTGCAACCACCTGTCACTTTTTTTTACCGCACTATGAAGTATTAATGTCAATCCTCTCAATTTCTCAGGGCGGGAAACCACTGGTGGTGGGTGCCGATAGTCGGCCCGTTAATCGGCGGGCTGGTCGGAGGGTTGGTCTACACGCTGATGGTGGCGCTGCATCACCCGGAGGATGAAGACGACAAGCCAGTACACGAGTCACCGGAGCTGCAGGACGTCAAGGTTCCAGGTGGTGGCGTTGCTAACGCTGCCATGGAGGACTTGCCCAGTAACACTGCGGTGTAGTGGTAGCACAACGCGTATATGCAAGGCTTGCCTTATATATGACATAAGAAGTTGAGGCCAGTAGGATCGAAAAATAAAACTTCCCCAGGTAGACTCCAAGCAGAATAAACCTCAACCATACATCTACTTGGAGATGTAGATGTATGACTTAGATGCGAAATGTTGGTCTTTACATGTGCGATAGAGACATCCAAACATATTTAATACTACTACTTGATAAGTAGTATATAAGTTATGTGTATTGTGTAGATATGGTAGGTAGATGGTAGGTTGTGTATTTGACTAGAGGCTGACTAAGCCATCGATACTAAATACATTTCACTTAGTGTAATACATGTAATATATAGCAAACACATTGAAGAAAGCCAAAAGGAGACTGATGTAAGACAAGTCCCCCCCCCACCGATGATTTATGATGCTTGCACTGTCACAAATGTATAACAACAACGCTTCCCTGCTCATGTGTGTTTTTTTTTTCACTTTTGGAGCTGGCAAAGTGGACCAATTGTGTGTTATGATATTACTTCTTTGGACGTCATAGACGTTATGTCTGTAACCCTAACACGTTGTTAGATCTCAATAGGGTCGCCCAACTTGAGACTGTATTAAAGAATTTGAATTTACAAGACATCAGACAGCGTTGCTTCTAATCTGTGTGTTTGTTCAATTACAGCAAAAGATCTCGTAGAATGTGTAAAAATTGTATCAGAGGAAAAGAACGTGAAAGGTGAAACCATCAAACCATAATAACATAAATCATGGTATATTTGCAAATAATATGATACTGTTTGACAAACCAATATAATACATGAATGTCTAATAATCATCAACAACATATGTAAAGTGAAGTTTTACATGGGGTGGTGGATCTTGAGGAGCGGGCTGAAGCTAACAAAACTTCAACCTAACGCGTGTGGTGCCAGAATTGGAATTCTTCTAATGCAAAGACCTAGTTTTACCAATACACGTATCATACAGCAATGAATGCTACAAAACAGCTTTACCTTGCCTAGATTGGTGAGTCAACAGTCTAACGTCCCTACGTGATGTGGAAGGACGAATAAAAATAATTTCGCCAGAAACGACGTCGACGCGCGTGAAATGAACTTTTCAAAGGTAAACCACTTAAAACTTATGTATTCATCAATTTGTGATGAATGATATCATCGTTAACCTTTTGGGATGTCTCTTTCAGCTGAACTGTGCCGTTTTTCAGACATAAAGATTACCCAACGACCATCATAAAAATAACTAATACTATCAGATCAGGGCGTAGCTGATTGGACGACAGGTTGAACCATTACATATCAAAGGTCGTTTCTGGATGGAAACATTTTTCCGAGTCGGTGCAGATGCGACAAGCGGACACAGTTGGTCGCCTCTGAACTTGGTCCCAAAAGAGCGGTGAAAGTCAGGAAATGGGGGGCAGGGGACGTGGAAGAGGCAGAGGAAAGCCACTGTCGTTTGATATTGAGACTTTGGGGTTCCAAAATAGAAAGGAACTGCCGCAAAGCAAGGATGAGCCTCCGCCCCTGTATCCAGTAAGTCTGAAAGTTTTTGTAGGGATTTTGATAAATATTCATTCGGTGTCATGGCTTTGCGCTAAGTTCTTAAATTTGCCTTGCAGCAATTTCAAACTTTCTTGTTGAAAAACAGGTAGCAAAAGTTTGATACAATGTAATGTGTGCAAATTTCTATTTACGGTACTAGTCTGTGGGATCCTGCAAGAAAATGGACTATTCCATTCCCATCATTCGTGATCCAAAATGGCTGCGCCCAGTAACAGATGACGGGCGACCCAATGTTTACAAACTTTGCTGGGCTGCATTTTGCGATCACAAACCTTTCATGATCTGGTTTTAACTGGAAATCTGTAAACCGGGATGGCGGGGCGAGGTCGGGGCAGAGGGAGCCACCGTGGACTGTCGTTCGACCCCGGCGCGTTAGGGTTTGGTAGAGGAGAGGGTCTCCCCCCTCCCACCCTACAGCCGCCGCCCATCTATCCAGTATGTTCACTAGTTCTGAAAGACTCTACTACCAGTAGTAGTGGGTTTTGTGTATGCACTGTTTGTTGTCTGTATAAGAACTAAAAACTGCGACCAACAGCGATTGGTATACTTCCTATGGGGGTGTAGTAACCGTGTATGTTTATACCGAAAGTTGTAAGTTCTTCCAGGTGCCAACTTTTACAATTTCTTCTTTCTCTACACCTTCTTGCTTAGTCCATGGACCCCAAAATACCAGATAAACCCGTGTGGCGTGTAATAATATGAAGATTGGCAACTACAGGAGGTTTCTACACATACTTGATTTATGTCGTGTAAAGTGCCTTTCCCAAGGCATAAGGTTGGTAACTTGGCAGGATTTGAACCTGGGACCCCTTGCGTTGGTCCTGAGCTGAATGCTTTGCTGTTAAGCCACACAACCCCACAAATGAAGGTAATGTTGTATTTTCCCAGCCCCTGGAGTTCAAGCCTGTCCCCCTACAGGAAGGAGAGGAGGCTAACTACCTGTTGGCACTCAAACAGGAGTTCCGTGGATCCATGAGGGAGTCTCCGTACTTCATCAAACCTCAGAGTACCAAGAAAGGTACATTAACAGCCCAGATTTCATAATGTTTACCTTTGCACTTCATGTTGTATCAAAGTGAAGAGCATAAAGAGATTTCTGTCTGTATTGCAGATATTGAACGGTACTCAGACAAGTACCAGCTGAATGGACAGAACAAAGGGCAGGGCCTGGGCTGGACACCAAGTGAGTAACAACTGGTGTTAGATAAAGCATTTGGGAGATCACTAGTTGCAAACTTCAGGTCATACCAAAGACCTACTGCTTAGCACTCAGCACGTATGAGAGAGATGGCACATCACTATCAGTTCACTACTGTATTGGCTTTGTGCAGCCCAAGAAAAGTGGGAAGGTGTTTTTTTAACCTCTAACTGTGACAAGAATCTCTCAATATCCCAAAAGTTTGACATGGACAGTTATAAAAATAGAATGCTATTAGTTGACAATTCATGTGCAGGGCACAGATTTGAGACTTAAAGGCATCCTGTGCGATTTTTTTGCATTAAAACTGGAAATATTCTGAAAAAGGAAATCTGTTTGGTATTGACACATACTACCTCACTTTAGCACATCTGCATCAGAATTTCATACTTTACGCGTTTAAAACAGCGCAGAAACTAGTGTCCTCTATTTTAGGGGTGCATCCCCAAAAATCAGGCAATATCGCCCCCAGTAACCGTTTTCGTCATCGTCCGACAACATGCGAAACCTCTCGATGGCTTTCTCTTTCGTTGCTCGCCGGGGACGACCTGCCATTGTCACGTATAAAAAAAAACGAAACGAACTGCGAGCGCAAAAAAAGTTCTGGAAAGTGCGACGGAGAATAATGAACGTGCGTGTGATCTCTGATAAGCCGATTGACAGCTGTGTCAGAAAGGTCACCGAGGATCACGTGACAATCTCCGGAAGTGTTCGGGGATCATCGGTAGGCATCGCGCGCGGTCGGCAGATTTGAAAAATGGCTGCCTTCCAAAGCCGGGCCGGGAAAGCGTGCAGATTTCAGCGAGTTCTCACCGCTCAACGACATCGCTTTTTTGCTCAACGAAGGTTGATATGGGCTAGGATGGTGTTGTTCAATCATACCATGTAACTAGGTGACTAGAATTTTTATTTTGAAAAACCAGTTTTAATGCCCAGAAATCGCACTGGATGCCTTTAATGGAATTTATCAGCTTTTGCTCAGATCCATGTACTTTGTATTCATTGCTTTATATAAGCTTGACAGTAGGAATTCTCATTATGAGTAACAATTGTCTTTTTAACCTTTTGTTCAGATTGGAACACTTTTCCCAAGGAGCTGAGAATAAGAGAAAAGAAACCCAAGAGATTAAGTAAGTGGCATGGAACATTTTGTCATATTCTTATACATTTCACAAATGACTCCTAAGTACATTTTGAACCAATTTATTACTGTATAGTTATCTTTTGCATTGTACATCTATGATAATGTACATGTAATGCTTTGATACCTATACTGTGCAACATACAGAACTCCTCAGGACATTGAGTATCAAAAGTGATGATACATGTAATTCACAGCTGTAAACTACAACATACTGGCTGGAGAATGTATTTAAATAGCCTAGTACATAATTGCTCGGCCTAGGCAATGTTGTTTTCTCTTGTGTCAGACATAATGTCATAAGATCCCGACAGTCATCACTAATTCTGTGATTCTCATTTCAGAGCTTTCAGTAAAACCGTCATTGGCAGGGACCAAGCTGAAGGCTAAAGGACAAAAAGGTGACACAAAGGAGGCAGAGAACAAGTTAAAGGTACTTGTCATACATGTACATAAACCGTAAACATTTTAGCCATCTTGTAATTACAAGTTGCTTCTCACAATAATTTGACTTCCAGAAAGAAATACATGATGTATTGTGAAAAGCAAGAATACAGAGAAATTCAATGCTACAAACTTTTTTCTCACCCTAATCCTAATACATTGACCCAGTGTTCTAGCCAGCGTCTGTCTTTCTGTCATTTGACAGAATTTTGCTGCTTGTGACAGACAAAAATTTTGCCCAATCTGTCATCTTTGATGGACAAAAACGTTGCAAAAATGTGGAAAAAGATGTCTTAAAACTAAGCTTAGTCTGACAGCAAAATTTGCCCCTCCAAATGCAAGAAATAGCCCCTAGATCCCCATTGGATTGTTTCTTTGGAGCTCAACATGATGTTACTTTAAATCAAGATGGGATGACAGGAAAAAATTTAAGGCTGATTAGAGCACTGCATGGACCACTTACTTGCAATGCTACTAATGGCCGGAATACTACTTGTTGCCCAATGGCCCTTTCTTACAGATCAAATGTATAATGGTTTATGAACATTGCTATACCTTAGGCCACACCAATTTTATTTCTTGGTTAACGGATTTTTCCAGAAAAATAATGGAGCGGGCGGGCGAAAAAAATAAAAATAAAAACAGGCCTAGGCATTCTATTATGGCCCAAATGGTACATTAGGACCCATGAAGTCAACACACCAGGCTGGTTCAAAATTTAAACAATGAATTTTGAACTTTTAATGATACCACTGCATTGAAAGATGGAATAACTGTAACAACTAGAATGAAAAGGACTGTTTTCAACTGTTCAGAGCAAAATATGAGCATTTTGCAGTTGATTCTGAATTTTTATTTTTATTTGCAAATCAGAAAAAAATGAAGCGGGCGAATCCGTTAACCAAGAAATTAAATTGGTGTGGTCTTATGTTCCACAGCGAATCCTGCAGGCTGAGGAGGAGGGGGATGAGGATGATGATGAAGATGAGGAGGAGAAGAAGAAGAAGGAGGCTGAGGGGGAGGAGGAGGAAGAGGAGGAGTTCTATGATGATGAGGACATAGAGGAGGTAAGGGGAAGTCTTCCTCATGCTTTTATTTCTTCCAGTTAATTGTTATACAAATGTAGTATTATCTATATATCATCATAATGAGAAATTGTGATACAATACAAACAGTACATACATTTGTAAGTTATTAATGTTTGCTTTTATTTGCTTCTCAAATAAACGTGTTTCACGAGGTGTGGTGCCAAGTTCAGAATTGGCCATTATTTTCACCGTGATGTCATTAACTGGTGGCAGAAATCAAGAACTGGAAGAATTATTTGCAAGATTCGATGTTCCTCAACACTCGAAGAGTGTAGTTTTGGTTCAAACACCTTTGTGCATCAAATAATACCTATCATATTAGACTGATTTCAGGAACTGTTGTACAAATGTATTTTAGTGTTATTGGTGTCATATGGTCTTTAAATTTAATAATGATATATGACAAAGAATTGTGACAGTATCCTGTTTTTATATACTCGCAGGGGACCGACTATGCCTTGTCATACTTTGACAATGGAGAGGACTACCTAGATGCTGACGATGATGCTTTGGAAGATGGGCCAGTATATTAGCAACACTCCCCCCTCATTTGGAGCAATAGAACAGCCTGCTCTGGACCAGTATAAAGTGATTGGACTGTACCATTCTGTGCTCAAGGGAGTGTCATAGGCATGTAATATTGTGACTGTTCTTGAATGACACCGAGCTGAAGAGTACAGTGCTGAATGATACAGCAGTGGTGTCAGATTTGACGTCGGTTGTCAATATTTATTACATTTTACAACAATTTTGAGTTTGCATCAAGTTCAGGGACTGAGGATGAAGATTCCTGGTGGACAGATTTTTGTGAGAAGTTCAAAACGATATGTGAGTGTGAAAGAAAGATCAGTGAAGTCTTAAACCGCGGGATTCCGCTAGCTCCTAGCGGTTGAAACAGTATGAACTGTGTATATTGGCATGTTTTTCAAATATATTTCCATGACATTGAAATCTCTTGATGTTTATGTGATCACTAACACTTCAGATGCCTCCCTGACAAAATCTGAGCGAAATAAGTCATGCAGTAACCAGTTAGACACGATAATGTAGGAGCCGTACTGAACGCTGTTCTAAGACCAGTTCTAAAAAAACCCGCACTGAGCCTTCAGCCAATGAGAGAACCCCTTTTATAGTTTCGGCCGCGGTTTAAGATCAACTCTTGATCAACATGTACATGTTATGGCAACTGCAGTACCATCAACCGTCACTAGGCGGCGCTTCAGTATAGCCATTGCTAAAATTGGTCTGGAGTACCCATGCTGTCCTTGGTGCTGAAAGCCTATTCCAATGATTATGAGCTGTCCCAGACTTCCATAAGCCATTGCAGTCTGCTTAAGTATGTCTCCCCATTGCTACAGATAAGAATATTGGCTACAGCTACACAAAGTTTTGGTGCAAGGACACCAACAATTTAAACTTGGCAAAATCCCTTTGAACAGTTGATTCTTTATTTTCCAGTATCAAGAAATGCTATGTTGTAGATTGAAGACTATTCTTTTTCTGTACTTGTACATACATTCATGGTGTTTGAAAGTAATTGACACCACTCACAAACAAGACACGTGTGCAGTTGTGTTTTTATATTTGTTTGAATTGAACAGAAGTTTAGTAAGTATAATATGTTAGCATATGTTCTTGTACCCTGTTTCTGAAGTCATAGGAGACTTTTTTTACTTTCAGTTTTTGAGAAATAATACATCAGCCCTTTTACTACCATTTGGTGTGAATCTATGTTTTATATGAAAGAGGCTGTGCATCATGACACAATATGGCTGTTTCCACACACACATTTTGCAAGAGCTAGATTTTACAGCAGTTTTAATAGTTACATATACTGGTACATGGAATGGTTGCAGACCCACACCTACTGATAATGTTGTTCAACACAATATAACACATCTTGGACAACACAAGTCTTGCTTGCATGATTTTTTTTTTTCATCAGACAATAGTTTTTTGATTGGTGTGAGGTTAATTTCAAATCCAATTCTAAAACAACAGGAAAAGTCACAAAATTTTAGCTTTTGGCATTTGAAAAAACAAATTATATCTGATTTGGTACATGTAAAGGTGAAGAAAGTCTGCAGTTTTCCATTTAATTTCTAAACTGTCCTGTATGTCCACCACATGCACTTTATTAACATCCAAAACCTTTTAACAATGTTGTTATTGTTAGTATACCGTACATGATGGTGGATTATCGTTTTCATCCTCCACACTTTTTGTTGTACTGATAATTCCATAACATTTTTTTCACTTTGGGAGTTTACGTTTTTGCATGTTAGGAGAAATAATCCATATAACACTTCTATTATATGTTACTGTACTTTTACAGTACAATGTTACTCAGAATGCTAATTTTTGGGTAATATGTTGTGATTGTATAATGATATATATTTATATATTATACATCAATGAACCTTGTGCACCAAAAACCGCTGGGACATAATTCATGAGACAGACACATAATTGGACAGAGACAAAATCAAATCAGTGTTAATCATTTTTGTTACATCACCAGACAAAACTCAATACAAGAAGAATAAACTTCAATGTTAACATAAAAAACTCAGTTAAAACAGAATATCTCTAGGGATGAGATGTTACTGCAAATTAAGTCTCCAACTTGTTAAACAGCATACATTGAAACTAGATGATATGGCCAAATGTTTCATTTGATAAATTAAAAAGAAATCAAAAATATCTGCCAACCTCAAATTAATTCTTCTATTTTTTTCCAATATTCCACTTGAAAACAATAATAAAATAAGGTCTGTCCTTGCGGTGTCATCAAGAAGTTCAAACTGCATCACACTTCACTGGTACTTACAATTAGTAGAAGACAGGTAATAGTATTTTGTGATGATTCTTAGGAAGCCCACAGCTTCTTAATTTGTAAAGACACAATTCTTTAGAACTGAAATTTGGCATCTTCTGATGGAAGCCTTTGAACCTACAGGTTGAAAGTGGTTTCACTGATGGATCCTGATAGTCTACACGGAAGTCATTACACAGTTCCAGCACTGCTGGGGATTGTGGGTAAGGTCGGAGCTCAAGGCCTCTCAAAAGTAAATATCCAAGTGGAAATGTTGCAAACATGTTTACACAAAGACCTGTTTACAAGTAAGGGATATTAAACTTTAACCATAGACCATTGATAAGGAATCATGCATGCACATGTGTACTTGGAACTGAGAGGCAGCTTATTAATTGATGACTTATTACTTGTACATTTGTACATGTAAATATTGATGCATTGCTGGGGAGGTAAGTTACATAGTTCCTTGCACAGTTCCCACAAGGCACAATTATACTACTGGCCTCTGCACAATGGGAATTTTACAATTTTGTTCATGGGATCAGTTCTAGCCATATATACATGTACATTATACACTGACGATGCTCATGCTTTTTTGATGCACAGTCTAGTAAGGGTCAGAAGCAGAAGACTAGACTCTAAAGTCTATAATAGATCTTTATAATGTCTGATGGGAAGAGATGGGAGCAAAAACTAAACCTGCAGCCCAGTAGATTAGTTTACAATTTGTTGACCCCATTTCACTGGGGACATACATGTACACCACATTCGTAAAAATTCCAAAGTGTTCCACCAAGGTAAAATGTACTACATTCAAACATATACATGTATCTAGCCTGTAGGGACATGTTTCTGTCAATGGAAATGAATATGTGTCCTATACACAGTTCACTGAAGTATCAACTCAATAATGCAGCAAATAATATCCTCATTGGCTCAAGCAGAAGAAACAGGAGTGTGAAATACATGTATGGGTACAACGTAGTCTGCCCAATCTTACACCAAGTCTTCTTATTACAGTATAATATTCACTTCCACATTACATGCACATGAAAGGATTGTAGGGGTCATCCAGAAAATATGGCTATTGTGGCCCAAAACATCGCACAATATTGGGGTAACTTATATCTGATAGCTTTCATACAAATCAATATCAGTCCTTTGTTAGTCGTAACATTCCATACAAAAAAAATGGCAAAACACTTTGAAAGCTTCCACAGATCTCTTACAATAACCACTAACTTCCACGTTAGATTGTATATAAATATATAAAGTCATTTACACAGTGTTCACATACTCATCATTATTATCAATAACACTGAACATAGATAACAATTTCACAATGCAACTTGTAAAAAACAATAAAAGCAAAATGTTACCAAACAAAGCTAAAAATAAGTAATATTAGGTGGTGGAACTTCATGGCAGTACAAATGTATATAAAGCTTAGTGCTTGCATTGCTCCCTTGTGATTTGTTAGTAAAACTTTAATGGCTAATAATATTATATTTTATCAAACTATTAGAACTTTTTTTATCAGTTTTCAAACTATGTTACTACCACTACTAAGGAACTCTTGTACTGCATGTAACTTTTACAAATTTTTAAACTTTGATGTCTTCAACTTTTCACAATTATTATGGTACTTTATACCACATGCTTACTGCTTTAACTTACTGGAAAAACTCTTACAAATGGCCATTTAAGTATTCACTCCATATGGGTTATACTTTTTTTTTGTCATCCATGCACTATATAAGGGGGTGAATAGGTGGTGTGAATAAATGTCTTTTAATGTACCTGGTAACAGGCAATGGTGGTACAGTAGTACCAGTAGTATCAGAGTTATGCTGTTCACTCTTTCAATGTTGTCTTTTTTCCTGCAGGGATTTGCACAGATTTCAATCCAGAGAATGGTTCATGACACTTACATACACCAGTATTAGACTGGTATCTCTTCTGCTTCATATTCTTTTCCCACCCTACCTCTACACTTAAATTTTGTATCTGCAATAGCCCTATTGTGCAGTTTATTTGCTCCACAACTTTCCTCGACAAAATGGCAAGAACCAATGCTGTTAGCTGTGGGATAGAACAAACTTGAGTTGCCAACTTGACATTAGGTACATTGAATGAGTGAATGTTCACAAGTAAGCTGTTATCCCATGTTTCTCATTAGGCCACACCATGTAACTTTTATGGATGACGTCCCCTGGAGACCCTAAATCTAATGTGAGAGCACAAAAAAGGGCAAAAATTAACACCAAATGTCTAGATTTGAAATATGGTAAGGGATGGGAAATATTAGGAAATTGAATGAGAGAGCTTTTATTCGTCTTAAAAACAGCAACAAAACAGTGGAACAGCAGTTGTAATCCTGCCTGTTTCTTGTGCTCATATTTCACATTATGGGTTTTACGTTAATTTTTCAATTTGCAGCACTCTCGTGACTCTTTGGTTATAGTTAAAGGAAGCGAAATTTCTTGTTTTTTTTTTGTTCTGGAAACAGGCGTGCACGCGGATGTCATCCATAAAACTGACTTGGTGTGGCCTTAGGTAGGCGTGTCTGCTGCTGCTTGGTTGCTAGGCGTCAAACTCGGTCTCCTCGCTGTGGTTGCTAGCGGTGACGGTGACCAGCTGCTGGTGCAGGACGGTCAGCTCGTGCAGCTTGTCCCCGATTTGCTCCTCCAGGTCGCGTACGCGCTGCGCGTCTCGCCTGTGGTCGCACAGCACGGTGTCCAGCTGGCCCTCCAGGGTTGACACTCTCTGCTGTAGGTCACGCTTGTCCTGCTCACAAGTCTGTCAGAACAACAGTACACTAATTATTATTACTAACTGTTAGTACAGCATTTAGGCCTAGGAGAAAATGTTGTGCTTCCTGTTTCAGTCCTGAAAAAATTAGGGTCGGTAGGTAGGGATTTTTTTTTCTTTTACAGTTTAACAAAGTAGACTTTCATGAGCATACTTCTATTTTCAATGTCAATGTTGAAAAACTGATGGTACAACGTTGGAAACATATCACTTTTTTCCTAGGCCTTACTATACAATATGATGACAGAGAGTATTGATCAGTATTAGATTAAATATACACAGTACATTGGAGTTTGTGAGAAAGCAAATAATAAACCGGTGGTCAGCCTAAGCCTGGTCACTACATAAGGACAGGAAAAAGAGGGTGACATACATATAGACCATTTTATGGATCCTATTGCCTTCTGGGATATGTGGGACATTATGGGAAAGGCAAGGGGCTGACCTATGACAATGCATACTGTAAATCACTTTATATTCGCGGTAGCATAATTTCACAGTCTGAGAAAAATGGGCTTGTTTGCAGAACTATACGTTCATGGTGGCGGTAGGTGCAGAAGAAAGAAAGTTGCCGAATTATTTGTTTGCAGTAATGATAAAATTGCGGTTGAGAAGTGATTGCAAAAGCTGCAAATATAAAAGTACCGCGAATATAAAGTGATTTACAGTATGTAGTGCACAAGTACTGGGTCTGGTCAGCTTTATGTTGTCACCATTATGATTTTGTCTGTCCCCTGCATTACCCATAGTGCCTGACATTTCCCACCATGCAATGGTATCCGTGAAAAGGTCCATGCCTCTGTTGGCAGATACCAATACTGCGGGGGTGGCTGAATACAAGCGGGTGCTGTAATGACTAGACATTCATGGATGGGACATACTAGTAATATAATATATAGGGGTGGTATGGTGAGGTCATGTTGGAATGACTTGTTGTTCGTGGAAGAGAACAACTTACGTCACCAACGACAGGGGACTCCTGCACCACAATCCCAGGCTGCATGGGGGCGTCAAAGAGCAACATCTTAGCTTCTGTACCGTTAGAATTACAGATGTTGGACACCAGAGCAAGATTGATGGTAGTTCTCTAAATCAATCATTCAGAATGGAAACCATGTGACTTGAATATCATGTCTATCACAATATGGGGGGATTTTTCAATTATTTTGGACAGAACAGCTAAAAAGATAATCTATCGACCAAAAAGGATGTCTACTATAATTTCATTCACATCAATACGTCTACTGAATGAGGTGTACAGTAAATCACTGAACGCTACACGGCAAAACGGAATTAACCTACCGTGAGTCTTTGCTGGATCCCTTGGTTCTTAGCATCTCTCATTTTCAGGGCTTCGACTTCTTCTTGCAGTCTTTCCAATTCCTAAGAAAGAAAAACACAGGTTAAAAATGGAATGTAACAAGTTTTATACAGACATGCCAAAAAGCAGTTACTCAAGCAACTGGATATGATTTTGGAAACGGTCAGATGTTTCAGATACACTAGCTTTCGTCAGTGACTGAGAGACCAGACTCCTCTGGTCTCTCGGTCACTGACGAAAGCTAGTGGATACTAGTTGAAATGTGTTGGTGGCGGCATAAAAATAAGTTGAAAAAACTTGAGTGTGCTATTACCAGGTCTTGTGATTAGCATTACATGTTGGAATTTAAAAAATACCTTGTCTTTCTTCAGGCCAGCAGTCTTAAGTCTCTCCACCTCCTCTGCAAGCTGAGCCTTCTCCCTCAGAACCACATCAAGCTGGTCCTGAGCACCGGCCCCCTCCATTGCTACAAGCTGTGCAGGAAAAAAACAATTCAAACTCTCACATCAAATGGCAATGTAGTCAAGACTATAATACAATAATCTGTATCTGTATCGGTATAGCTGGTATAACCGCCCTTTGGCGTAACACACCAGCTTCACAGGAATGCAGTGCAGCGGCAGCTACATCATGTACATGTTGTAGCTATATGACACCAAATAACCTGTGTTACACCCAATCTTTGCACATTTAACTGCAGGACTTGTTAAATTAAAGCTTTCTAGTGATTATGTATTGCAACAGTCAGTCCAATCATTACCTAGACAGTATTTGACCTTTCTACACATTTATGGTTATAAATTTTCTCCACATTATATTTATAATCTACTAGAAAAAACACTTGTGTTCATACTAAACACAAGGATTTTTACAGCAACCTCAGACATGCCTCAGACAGTCAAATTTTAAACATTATCTAAGCAGCATTAACCTGTGTGCGCTAATTTAGTTAGACACTCTATTTGAGAAATTTTTAGAATCTACTTCCACTTGCAATCCTTCATTGTTTGGTTTCCTTTTCTATCGATAAAATCAGCTAGATTTCAGAAAACCCATTTACAATATATAAGTATACATTAACCATGAGGACACAAACATACACATACAGTTGTACAGACCTATTAGCACACGTACAGCTGAATATAAATCTTAAACGTCAGTAAATATGAGAAAAGCAAGCAAACAAAATACTGAAATCTGATAGCAATCATCTATAATACTTACAGGCCTTCAGACCTCCTTGTCTACTCACATCCAGACAAAAATACCCCAGACAGGGAATGTGGCAGAATGTGCAGATATTTTGTTGACAACTTCAGGAAAGAAAATGGTCTACTACCCACAGAAATGGTGCATATTAATGAAGGTGCTGCTCACTGAATATTCAAGGAATGGAGATTTTCCCACAACAATACCAAGGGGGCAATGCACTAGAATTGTTGAATGACATTTTTTGTATTATATGTTGTAATATCAGGATATACATTTGTACCTGTATACACAACATTGTCTTCCATTTAACAAGATGGCATGAACATTTGTAGCTATTGGGGAAACTTTTTTGACTTACTCTCATCAGTCAGCATGAACATTGGATGTTTGTTGATCCAAGAAAGAGCCCATGAAAATGTAAATCTGTATCTGTATAGCCGGTATAACCACCCTTCGGAGTAACACACCAGCTTCACAGGCACATGGCACGGCGGCAGCTGGCTACATTACAACAACTTGTTACACCTAACCCTTGAACATCTACATATAACTCTAAACATTGTTTAAAGCTATCTAATAATGATGCCCCTACTGTACTTGGTGGCAACGAGTTCCACACTGCGATAGTTCTTGGAAAGAATGAGTTTTTGAACACCTCAATCCTTGGTTGATGATAGATATGCTGCACTTCAAACAGATCTAACTTTATGTCCACACAAAAAGGGTACTTTTATACTCAGTGCAGTAATATAACTGCAGGAATCATACACTGTCATTGGATTAGCATCATACTCCTAGCTTTCAGGTAGGTATAAGAAATGTACCATACCAATACAGAATACATGTAGTATACTTCATACATGGATAAACCCATGTCATTCAGGCACATGGCACAATAAAATTACATACATGTACCTTGCCATTTCTACCAGGTTTTTTTCTACACACAGAATGCCGGTACCTTTTTCTTCATGCTGTCGTTCTCCTCCTTGTAGGCAGCGAGCTGTTTCTTCCACTCCTCCACGTTGGCTGTGCTCTCCTGCAGGGCCGTGGTCAGACGAGTGTTGTTGTTCTTCAGGGTCTGCAGCTCCACTTCCCACTTCTTCGCATTGGCTGAGCTACGGAAAATCAAGATGGACAGATAGTTCTGCTGAATTTCGAAAGACTTAATGGTAGAAGCAGGAAGTGGTGTGTTTGTGGAGTATTATTCATATGTGTGTGTGATAGTGCTGTGTACATAAACTCATGTTTAGGTTCAGGTCCGGATTCAAGTCAAGAGGTTTAGGTTCTGGTCTGGACCTAAACTCATGGCATATTAAACAAAATTGCATGTTGGCAAACATCTTGTAGTGCCCACTGTGCTACCAGGGTTTAGAAGCAATGTATCAAGATGTATTGTATACACAACATGTCTGGGTGAAACTATGGCCACATAATTATTGAGGCTGACACATGCCCAATGGCAATGTTCTCTTAACTTTGCAGAGCAAATTTTTTGATCTATGGAAAGCTTTAGGTGGTTTACAACAAAAAAGACAATGTGACACGATCTTGCTTTTTTGGTAAGTCTGGAACTGGTTCCCAACGTTCAGGTTTTTTGGACTTGAACCTTAAGTCTGGAACCGGTCCAGTGAACCAGCACACAGTACTAGCGTGTGATGGTTTTAGTGTATGTGTAAAAAAAACTATTACAGTACTGTGATTTCCACGTACCTCTGTGCAAGGGCAATCTTGAGTCTGTCGTTCTCATACTTCAGCTGGGAGTCGGCAGTCAGCGGCCCGTTGTCGCTCTTTCCATCTGCTCTGTCGTGGAAGGACTCCGGGTTCTCTGGAGGCAGGTTGAGGGACTGGGAACTACGATGGTCCCGGGGAAATGTACCCGCTGTGGTAAAATAGACTCCATCTTGAATTAAGACTCCTTTTATTAAAATTACTATGATAATTCTGTTGATAGTGCAACAACACCACCTCATTACATGCAGAACATCTTTATATCATGAAAGTTCATCTGTGTTGGTAGTTACCTGTTTTAAGTTAAAACTTTTGATCTAACACAAGGTAAATTTTGTGACTTCTTTTAAGTGTGACATCATTTACCAGTCTACCTTTGACCCAGTGATGACGTCACACTTCAGAGAAGCCACATGACAAGGTCTCACTGGGTCAGTCTACTGGGGAAGACCAGAGTAACTGTTGGAAAGCTCTAGGTGAGAAAATCTACCTTGTGTTGGATCAAAAGTTTTAACCTTAAACACACTACAACATGTAGCATCACTTTACATGTACAACTCATTTTACTAGCACATTAGCAGAACATACTGATTTTTTTCGGTTTTCGTTGTATGTTTGGTCAATGTTGCATCAGACTGTTGCCCGTTGCAGATGATATCTTTTCCGAGATAACCTTTGCAAACTTCAGATGGGATGTTAACCCCATCAACATATACATTCGTATGAAACATTCTGCTGAAGTGCTATGCAAAATAGATTACAGGTTTAGCACAGGTGCAGTATGTTCTGCCAATGTGCTCCTTTTATCGCTATCGTGAAAGTAAGTAAAAGTAAGTATCCCTTACCTAAGCCCTGTGAGGTAGCTGTTCCGTTAACAGTAGGTGTTTTCTGCGGTGTGTGAGGTGTCTGCGGCGTGCTGCCGCCTGATTGGGCGCGGATTCTCTCCACCTCCTGACGTGCCGACTGTTTAGCATCCTGGAACTTCTCGATGAACTAGTATGAGAGAACAATCTCACATGTAAATGTAGGACAGGTACAAATAAAGTACAGGAGTTACTATCAACACACCACCACCAACAGAATGAATATGGCAGTATCGATCGAAACAAAGATAAAAAACCCACCATAACTAGAAAATGTTAGAACCATCACGATACATGAGAGTTAATCTATCAGGCTATATTTCAGTGGGACAGACACCAGCACAGAGTCATTGAACTGCAACAGGACCTAAAAAGTCCAGAAGAAGAGAAAGTCAGATATGTTAGTCTACCACTTTGGCCAGGATGTTCATTCATCTGGTTGCACTGAAGTTGTCAAACTTCTTATTCACAATTTTTGCACTATATTTGTGTACACTACTTAATTTGTGTGTTGAATACTTTGGTCTTCAATGTTATAAGCATGTTAGTTCTGACCAGATGAATATACAGGGTAACCTTAGTTGACTTGTGGTAGTAGGAAAAGGCTACTAAGAGTCATATTATTGGAGAAAGGTTGAACCACTATGTTAACTCAGAAGAGAAGTTGTTGTTGTGAGCGCGTCAGGAGTTTCAAGAATAGTGGTCTTAATCTTGGTATCAACCTCTTCTTCTTGATTGGTGGACTCTGGAGTGATTTCGTCTGATTGAACATGTGTGTCATCATCCTGCTGCTTGTCTTTTGCCTTGCGCATCTCTTTTGGTGTCCCTGGAGCCATTGGTACTGTGTTGCCATGCTGCACTGGTGGCGAGACACCGTTAGCCTTGTCTCTCTGCTGCAGGCTCTGTCTGGACGATCGAGGCGTGCCTGGGCTGTTCCTAGCACGGATGCGCTCAACCTCTTGCTTGGCTGACTCTTTGGCTTCCTGGAACTTGACTAGAAACTGATGGGAAACACAGAGGTGAGAAGTTTTTGTGGTTGTGAGCTATGGAAGAAACATTGAGGTGAGACCTCTCTCCTGGGTGGAAGTGATAAAACCTTGGCCTGAGACCTCTTCCTTGACTGTAAAGTTAACTCAAAGGGACATAGTGGTAGACCTCATCTTGGTTAGCAACTCAAGAGACCATCTCCCTGCCTGGAACTGTATAGAAACATGATGTGAGACCTCCTTCTTGAATAAGATCTGTAAGGAACACTGAGATGAGACCACCTTGCTTGGTTTGGAACTGTGGACAAACATTCGTGAGACTCCGAAACACACAATAGAACCATACAGGTCAAATGTCATCTACATTGTACCTATCACTGTAATTTAGTGTAAAGCAACAATAATAGATTTTCAAAAGATATATTGACTTGAATATACAATTGTACTGGATCTGTTAATCTGAAACAAATGTAACATTAACCCCTTCATAATTTCTCTGGGCCCACCCATTTTAGTTAGGGACTATAACTTAGTACAAGATAACTGATTTTTGCAGCCAGCAAGGCTGTCTATTTACAAATGTAACAGAGAAAGGCAAGCACTTCATCCCAGGGCTCAACTGTCTGGCCGTAGGGACCAGGTTTCCAGGTTTCCAATAAAGGTCACCTTGTAGGTTGTCAGACTCCAATACTGATGACACTGATACCACAGAGAGCAGGAAGTATGTTCATAATGAAGAATAAAACTGTAGAAACAGCAGTGGGCCCAGAGGGAACCCCTGTGGGACCCGACCTGATAGAGTGGGCTGTTCACTTTTTGAATATTTTCTTTTGTATAGTGCAGATATACATGTAGCACAAACGGGATGAGCAAAAAATAACATGACTATTCTACTGATACACCAAAAAGCATGGTATAGTATGTTAAACCTTACTGGTTCATTAAATACTGTGTACCATGGAAAACGGCCACTATGTCTTCCCTGAGGGCATACTTAGTCTAATGACTGGTGATCTCATGCCATTAGCACTGTTTCCACTTCTGCACCTGCTTTTGAGGAAAAAATGGTTCTGAACAGAAAACAAAGAAGGATGACAGGATTGTCAATCTGCTTGAAGGATTGTGGTGAAAATTGGCATCAGAATGTTGACACGTTGCTTTGTAATTATTTATTCTGTAAAAATCACAACCTTTGACAGCTTTTTTTGCATGTCATAACTTTTCACAACACCTGAGGCTAATTGCAGAGGATGATCACTACCTTTGACAGCTCTGGCTCTTCAGCAAACCCCAGACCGTAGACTGTGTTGGCCCTGATGTCTGCCCACTGTACAAACTTCTGGGACGTCTTGGTGTACGTCATGTTGGGGGTGATGGTACTGTTGATAATGGCCTGGAAAACAGAATGGAAACAACTTTTGTAGTAACATCTTATGTATTTCAGTTTTGACTACAGAGAAACGGTTGCATGATACAATACATCTGAAATACATGATGATGCCTTTATGACTGTAGTGTGAGAGGCAGTTGCACTTAATGCCCTTCCTAATGTTATTGTCTCAGAAAAATAAAATCAATGCACTCTTTGGCTGACTGATCAAGACACCAAGGGTAGCAAGGTTGTCTATGTTTCCGAATGTTGACCTTAATATATGACATAAATGTTGACCTGAATATTATTGATTTTCTATGATTCATATCAGTTAACGACTGGCATGTCAACAGTTGAAAGAATCAGATCAACTTGAATGCCGAACTGCTGTCATATCAAGTTGACTTTTCAGTGATGTTTTGCCTCACCAAGGAGGTTGCCTCTTTACTCTAACTTGTGTGTTAAGTACAGTATAGACAGCCTGAGTGTTCTAGGCAGCCTGAAATTTTTTTCCGTCCGTCATTTTATTTGACGTGACACCATGACTTGTCAAGCGTGGGAAGGTGCGAGGAGTAATAAAATTAATACTAGGGGAGGTGCATGAAGATTTTGAAATCTTGACCCTCTGAAATTTCCTGTATTTTGCGGGACAAATTTTGCAGCTAGACTAAGGTTGGTTTATTGACATCTCTTTCTATATTCTATATCACACCGATTTTTGTCGGTCAAAGGTGACGGATTGGGCAAAATTTCTGTCTGCCACAAGTCGCAAAATTCTGTCAAATGACAGAAAGATGGACGCTGGCTAGAACACTAGACAGTAACAGATTGAAGTTCTGGTTCAACAGCCTCTACATCCTTTATTTCTTTGCTTCTTTTAAGACTGAAGGGCTATAGCAAGACCTAAATGAACAATACATTAACAATCCTCTTGGCTTACTTCCCATTCATTGATTTTTTTTCTCAACTTTATTCTCAATTACTCCTCCGGAGGGAATATGTGACATCTGCCCCAGACAGCAAAATAAAGGGGGTCTTGAATTATTGATACATAATGCTCTTATATGAAGAGATTTTCTTTGAAAGGGAGCCACTAGATTATCAAATACATTGAAGCCACTTTATTATGCATGCAGAAGGATAATCCAATGGCACACAGATTTAGACTGCTACAATACTGCAATATGAACTATACTTGTGAATATAAATGCTTTCTATAAAACCAAGGACATTATAAAACAGAGCAGCTTGATTTTTACTCTTGGTAAGTGAATAGAATTTCTAGGTTTGGAGCATATCAGAATAACATTGCTTCGATGATGATATTATGTACATTAGCTTTATTTTAGGATTGTTTAGGAACTTAGAAATAAACCTAAGATAGCAGATTGATTGCATGCATTCATTATGTTATTTTTTGTATTTGTACAGTGTACATGCACATGTACAGACATTCTACCCATACATGTGCGTGTTTCCCATGAATGACAAAACAATATCTATCAGATTCTATCATTAGATAGAATGATGCAACTGGTACAACGATGTACTACAGCCTGTCTGATTTTTAGGTTTGAAACCAATCAGAACATGCTGTACATCATTCCATGGATGATACCATGTACAAGCTTGGCTGGATCCTTCAGGCATACCTTGCCAAAAACACACAACCCGGGGAATAGCCATAGAAAATTCTTATTCAACCCTCCATCCCACCATGAAATATCTGGGGTCGTGTGGTGTGATGGCAGAGCATTCAGCTCAGAACCAAGAGGTTCTGGGTTCGAAAACTGCCAAGTCACCAATCTTGTGCCCTTGGGAAAGGCACTTTACATGACTGTCCTTACTTTGCTCAGGTAAAAATGAGTATGCCAGAATGATCATTATCATGATAGTGGGCATAAAAGGAAAACCAAACAAAGGGGAACTAAATATCTTACACATAGGAACACTGTGATTCTGACAATGACATGAACCAGTAGTTGTAGATGACTTGGCTATATATATATATATATATATATATATATATATATATATATATATAGTAGTAGTAC